CTTAAAAAGATGTGGCCAGTCACTTCTTTTGCTCTAATAGGGTTAAGAAGTACTTACGGATGCCATACAATTTTAAGTCATAACCAAGAGACAAAATAAAGCTGGGGTGGAGAAAAGGGTAGAGGGTGACAGAAAGAGGAAGGAAAAAAAATGAGAAACAAAACAAACACATGGAGATTTATCAAATTTCTAAATAGGAAGACTTTCTAAATGTAAATAATGGGGGAAATAACACATATACTAAAGATCAATTAATTTGATTTCCTAAAAAACTTTCTGAATAATTCTGTAAACAAAAGAAAAATACCTGCAACAAATGTGACTAAAGATTGACATTCTTATTCTACAAAGAGCTTGTGTAAATGATCAAGATAAATATAGAGTGAACAGGACATTTCAGCTGGTACAATGTAAACCAGTATAGTTTTTCTGCACAATACCTACCAAAAACCTTAAAAACATTTACCCTTTTGACTCAGGCATATAGAGAATCTATACTAAAGAAAAAACTATAAATGTATACTAAAAACTTGGGCACAAAGATGACTGCTGCAAAGCTATTTATAACAGTAAGAAATTGGAAACAAATGTCCAAAAATAAGGGCATACGATCAATTGGTAGTTTCTCAGTTACTTTTGCATAGTTAGCACGGGATGTCTGGGTCACATTAGTGATGTAATAATAACAGCTATTATTTGTGGAGGGTTTACTATGTGTTCATAATGTGCTAGGCATAGTTCTAAGTATCTTAACCTTCAAAACACTCAATGAAGTAGGTACTATTACTCTTATGATAGGGATGAGAAAACTAATTCTAGAGCTTGTATGCTTAGCCATTATATCAATTATTCAATAAATGTTTCTGCAACAAATTGAAAGCCATGATTGTGGTGTGTTAAATTAAAGCATGCAAAATCATCCGTATTGAGTTTTATGCCTTGTTCCAAATTGTACATATAACTCGACCTCAATTATAGGAAATCAGCTCAAAAATTTATAGGAAAAAATGTTAACTATGGTAGACTTTCCTCCAAAATTTCCACAATGAACATGAATTACTTTGTAAAAGAAAATATGTTTATAAAATACGTATGTACATACCCAGTAAGTAATGCAGAGTGGTCCTTTTGCCATTGGCTGACTATCATTATTTTAGGTGTAAGAATCTTTATTAGATGCTGAGCCTGTTACCCAATTTTAGAAGAGGAACTGATGCAGTCAACACCATCACATCCTCAAAAACATCACCCAGGAGCAAAACTTTGAGTATCTCAATATTTTTGAGCTAGTTTCTCATGCAGGCAAGTAGACAGAAAACCCAAGAAATAGTCCATCCTACTTGATCCAGAACTAAGAAAACAGCACCAGGCTCGCTGTGGGGAGCTCTCACTTCAAATGTGCACAGGATGCTCTAAGTAGGAAAAATGAAATGTGAACTTGGAGGAACAAGAGAACATTAGGAAACTGGGAACAGGAACCTAGGAGAAAAGAAGTGGGGGTATTAGTATATAGTTCAGATGGCAGGTGAATGTTAGGAACTCAAAGTAAACATCTAAAAAGCTGAAAGCGCGTAATGTGTTTAAAACTTTTAGAAACAAGAATAGAAGTAAGGGCTTGAAGGGAGAAGGAAAAAAAAGATGGAATCGTTTGTGCACTTCAATTACACAAAGAAACAAGATACTAGGTAGAAAGGGCTCTTTCAGGAGAGTTTGCTAAAGGTAGACAACAAAAACTTTTGTTCGCTCTTAAAACTTAGGGGCCAGTGTTGTGTCACCCTGACCCCCTTTACACACATAAATACAAACACTGGTTTCTAGAGGGATTAATCATATATTGGACGCGATACAATCCAGTGGGATGTAAATGGGAGTTAGAGGGGAGAACTGAGAACAGGTTGTCTACAGGCCCAGTGAGACCTAGTTCTAGATGTAACCTCCGGTGGGGGGGGGGGAGGAGGAGGTGTGTGGCAAGGGAGGAGTCCTGAGCCTGGAATTATTGGGGCTGGGGTTAGAAGTGTCAGGGTAGCGGGAGCAGGCACTTGGGGGTTGATCCTACGGAATCCAGGATGGTGGAAGCTGGGGTCCCAAAGAGAAGCTAGATCATAGGGGCGCTGTCACCCGTGATCATGGCGCGTTCCCAGCCCAGGCTCTCTCGTACCCTCCAAGGTGACGGTGTCCAGCTCTCGCTGGGAGTGCTCAGCCGCCGCCGCCGCCGTCTTGCCGTCAGCCTCCCCCGTTGATCCGCCACCTGCCACCGCCTCCTCTTTCATCTCCACATCCTGGGGGGCCGGGGGTGGCGGTGGTTCTTGTTCCCCTCCGCCGGGTGGCGGTTTCGCCTTGTCCGCCCCTCGGCGCCGCGCCGAGCCCTCCTGCTTCATGGCGCCCGGGGTCGCGGCCTAGTCCGGGGTCCGAGGCCGGGGCCTCGTGTGAACCCTCGCACCAGAGACCAGGAACCAAGCCGGGCCTGCACACGAGCGCGGGCTCGCGTCGGGCCGCACGATGACGGAGCAGCTGCAAACCCCTTCCCAGCGCTGGGCCTTCTGGGAAACGCCAGGCCCGGTAGGCCGATGGCCGAGTCACCAAAGGGGAAAGAAATCAACCGTCGAGGTGTAGGATGGGGGCGGATCTTCGGGGAAGGAGGGGGAGGAGCCTGTCCGGTTTGTGGGGCTTTCGTTGGCGTGCTGAAGTGTGATTCTCTTTTATGTCCCTCTCAAGTGCATTTCTGTGCATGTCCACGAGAGGTCCCTTCAGGCTCTAATCTGTGTTACTTCGGACTCTAAGAACACCCCAACAGGCGTGACTGGGTAAGGCTGAGCCTTAGGGTGCGATGACGTCACGAGCTGTGGGCGAGTTTTTTGCCCAAACTCGTTCAATTTGCTCCCGGTTGGGGTCGCTTTGGAGATCCGCGAGGCTCGCCTTCAACGGCTGCTTAGTGTATGCGGCGCGAGGGAAGAAAAGAAGCTAGAAAAAAGGGATGTGGTGCTAGGTTGTTGGGCTTAAAATAAAACCGAACTGGAGAGTAGGAAGAAACCTATGAGATTTAGACTTCGTCAGATTTTAGCTAGTGCTGAAAATAAGGCATAAAGCCTCTGCAGCCTGCGAATGTTGATAGGGATAGAGTGCACTTGCGTACAATCACTCCAGTTTAATAAAGTTTAGGGGACCACTCTATGTACATTCCAGGGCTAGCACATTTGGGGAATGGGGTGGTAAAGAACAGCTCTAGAATGCAGTCTGCTGGAAAACTCTGCTCTGGGCTGCCATGTATTGCGAGGCTGGAGGAAAGATGGTGGAAGTCCTTATTGGCAGAGACTTCAGGGAGTCCGTTGGGCCGCCTGCATGCATCCAGACAGACGCTTGTAGTGAAATGGGGAACGGGATAATAGTATGTCTAAGGAGAGCCTGAGACTCCCCAAGGGGAAGGAAATTGGACCAGAAATCTTGTCCACTTATTTTACAAAGGAATCCTCCAGTGATTCTGTAGGAGGAGGATACATGTTCCAATTTCTTAAGATAAAACAAAAATTCTTTCCCCTCTTGGAACTTTTAGCTCTTCCTTAAATGGAAGTCTTGAGTTTTAGACCAGGTCAGACCCTAGGAGGTAATCTAGCAGCTCTGTTGTGTAAGGTCCTAGAGGACAAAGAATGTCTTTTCAATATATTGTCCTTTATGTATAGAGAGGAAATTCTTTGTATTACCCTTTTCATACAATTGCACCAAATAGCTCCTTGCACTAAATGGAAAAATGGAAAAATGTGTGCTCCAGTTTTAGGGAACATGTCTTGACCAATTCCTCCCTAACTAGGCCCTTCCCCCAAGGACTAGGGGATAGATAACAGGACTTTTGAATCATCACTGGAATGAAGTCATTAAAGCCTTTCATAACACTATATATGTAACTGAAGGTGGGCGAGATGGTAAAGGAAGAAAACAGATGAGTTTTGTTGTTCATCTTTGTGAAGTTATTCTTCTAGATAGTTAGGGTGTTAGCTCACCTCTTTATTATGTTTACATCACAAGAGAGAAACAATCAAGTCGGTACATAACTATCCAGTATATCCGTGAGCAATATAGCAGAGGCCTTAGACATGCCCCAGAATGGGGGAGGATGGCTTAACACAAAGCCTTTGGCAGTTGGTCATGAATTCTTGGTGTGTGAGGGAACTAACCAAAGCAGGGTGTGGCTAAGAAGAGGGACAGTCTGACTCCTGGGGCCAAAAACCTTGGAGAAATTATTCCATCCATAAAACTATTTTGAAAGAGATTGGTGAAAGACTTTAAAATCCAGCTTTAGGCAGAGGAAGTATAAATCTAGCAGTTTGATGAGATTGCAATATCCACGTTAGCAGGTCCATATGCCAAGCCTACCCACATCACTTCCTCCCACAACCAACCTAAATTAAGGGCAGAAGTGGGACAGGTGAAGCCAGAAGATACTATCACAATTTCTTTTTCAAAGTTTTGGGTCAGTCTTATTTTGGGGTACCATTTTTTTTTAAAGACCTATCTACATTTTCTATTCAATAAACTTGAAAGTTGTCTTACTCTTGTTTTGGGCTTGTACCATATATCTCTAGATCTTTGCCTTTCTCAGTCTCTCAACCCAAGTCCGGAGGACCCCAAAGGCTCCTCTTTGAAGACAAGCTGCTTTTATGATCTCACTTTTGAATCTAGATTCCACATTCTACACCCTCATAGTTCTCCTCTGAGTATTTTCCAACTGGTCTGAGGATAGTATAATAGTATTCATGTACATATAATCTATATGTAGTATGATAATGTCTATTTTCTGGCACAAGTTAAGAATTTCCTTATAATAGATTCTTTAAAGGAAAAACACCAAAAGACATTTAATCGAAAATGAAATAATATTTTCCATTCATTCCAGTAAAGCTTGATTTTTGGAAGCACAAGCAGGAGTTATTGGGAAAGGAAATTAATTAATTTTGGTTCTGTAAAATGTTCATAGTTATAAAAGTTTGAGTTTCTACTTTCGGAGGATTTAAGCATCAGCAGATGAGCTTAGCAGGTTGCGAAGCTATAGGGGCAGGGGGAGATATAGAGGGACAAGTAAAAATTGGTTAGCTTGGGGGATCAGCTAGGGTTTCCATCATCCTCAGCCTGGTGGCTCTGAAATGCCATTGGATGTTAAGGACAGAGCACAAATGTTGTAGGGAAGGCATTAAGAAAGCAGAAAGCAGATGGAAAAGGCAAGTTAGGAGGCCTTGGTCAGCAGCTGCAGGAGGGAGAGGCCAGCATAAAGGGCACAGAGGCAGGGGAGGGTGTCTGGGTCCCACGTATACTGGGGGCCAGATCTCTGCACTTCCAGGCCACTCAGCCCCACTAGGGCCTCTGTAAGGGTCAGGTCCTCTTCTCCAAGGGAGGAGAGCAAGTCAGGTTGCAGGGGGAAAACACTCTCTTTATCCTGAAGGAAATTCTGTTCCATTGTGCTCTCCACCTGGAAGGAACCAAAATAGCATGAAAAGAAAGAACTAGAAACCTCTCCTCTTTTCTCCTAACTCATAAAAACCACAAAGATGGCTCCCTTTCTCTTAGTATAGCTCCTTTCATTACATTACAATTCCCTCTAGGCCTTTTAACAACCCTGTACCGTGGGCAGCATGTTTATTTTTAGCCCCATTTTTTAGGGGAGTGAATTGAGGCAGACTCAGGGACATTGAAAGATTTGCTCACATCACTTGGCTAGGAATAAACAAAGCCAGATTTTTCTGTTTCTTCTCTTAAGATAAAGCTGAAAAACCCAGATAATTGCCCAGAAATTTACTCTTCTGCCTCTAGTTGTGCAATAGCAAAAAGGAAGAAACATGGAGAGAAGTAAGAAGTGGGCATGAGCTTCTGGGATAAGACAGCAGCCCTCTGGGATGGTTATGTCATTAAGCTAAATTTGTCTATTTCCACTCGTTCTAGCTGACTCCCTCCCAAACTCTCCCAGTATCTGTCGTTTTTTTTCTCACAAGCTTTAGCTGCACAGGGAGGATCTTTTTCTCCATGGATTTTACCAGTAGCTTCTGTTGGACTTCACTTAGCTCTGGAGAAAAAAGCAGAGAAAGAGATGTGTGTCATTGGTGCAAAGGGGACTATAGACTCCAAATGGGTATACTTCCAAACTCACAGCATTAATTAATTCATACATTCATCCATAGCTGAATGCCTGGTCTGTGCCAGGCACCTTTGCTGGGTGTGTTAGGTAAAAATCACACTCCCTTCACTCAAGGAACTTGTAGGCTAGTGGAGAAGACAAAGGAACGTGCAAATACAATACAGGGTGTTAAGGGAGACATAGCTGAGGGGTCTACTTTGGTCTTGGCATTTGAGGGCAGGCTTCTTAAGGGAGCAAACATCTCAGCTTACACCTGAAGGACCAGAGAGTTCTTCTAAGTGGAGCAATGTTTCATGCAGCAGGAAGAAGAGAATTCAGGGGCAAGATAAGATGTTACCCTCTTAAATTAAAGGTGACAACTATTGATATAAAAATGATGGGCTTAGCTATATGTAGAAGTTTAAATGTGTGGCAGATAAAACTAGAGTTATATTCCAACCCTCACTAACAAGACTAGGCCGTCTTCTCAGACTATCCAAGTGAATCCATAGGAATGAAATCAATCTTTAAAAATGCAGATATAAACTACTTAACTGTGGTATAATTGGCTTGGCATTCATTCATTTACTCATTCATTCATTCATTCATTCATCCATTTGGAAATTCATTCACTCATTCATTCCTATCACTGAAAAAGTATGTAAACAAAGACCTTACTCCCCATTTACCTGTTAGGGCTCCAAGGAAATACAGAATTGCACCCAGAGCCTCCTTTGATAGTAGGACATCTTTTGGGAGTGCCTCCAGCGTCACTTCATGTCCTTTGCCTAGAGCCCCTTCAAGCTGTGGGGAAAGGTGAGTGACTACTTAAGATAACAGGTGTAAAAGGCCCAGCATGGTATCTGGCACATTATAATCCCTTGACATGTGTTAACTTTCTCCTATTTCCTCATTTTTTTCCCCAAGATATTATAAAATACTGGACTCCTGAGTTCTGGCCCCCTTCCATGAGAGGGTCCTGCTGGCCTGCTGCCTCCCTCTGTCCATCAGGAGGGAGCATGTGCCTTCAGGGAGTCCGCACTGTTTTCCTTTCTCTAGAGGGACAAAGGAGCAGCGATGGCCTGGCAGCCTGAGGGCACTTGGCTACCCCTGGGGACGGCATCTGCTGTCTATTCCCTTGGCCACAGATTACCTTCTGCCAGTGTCAGATCCCCCACCAGCTGCAACGCCCACACACCTCTCCACCAGAAATGTTCCTTCTCTCGTGCCTCCCCCACTTCCCCTGGGATCTCACCGTGAGCTCCAGGTCTTGTAGCTCCTTTCTATTCCCTAGAAGTTTGCTGAGGGAGGTGAGCAGGGAGCTTCGCCCCACGTGGCTCAGCTTCTCCACTTCTTGGGTCTCTCTTTGAATCTCTTCCTTCAGTGTCCTGAAGTCCTCATGCACCTCCCCTATGCAGACAGTAAATGTGGCAAACAAACCGCCCTCCACCTGGCACCCTCCCCATTCAGTCAACATTCTTCCTGCAGGCTCCTTCACATAACCCTTCTCACATCCTCATGCTTTGCTCTCAGCTTGAGCCTGGCCTCTCTTTTTTCTGGACCAAGGAACACATTTATGAAATTATCCATCAACTCTGACTTGAGGGGTCTATGTGTGGGTATGGGTGGGGGTTGGGGTGAGAAGTGGGCTATGACTCACATTATCATCTAAGCCAGTAGTTCATTCTCCCTGAGTACCCAGGCCCCATCCCAGATCAGCAGACAATTGACTTCCCATTTTCTAAGACTCCAGCTAAAAGTTGAGAAGCAAGGTCTATTTCCCCTTCTCATGAGTTAGCTGACAAAGTTGGTGACTGGGTGAAGGCCAGGATGGAACTGCTCCAGAGAGCTGTGGGCCTATGTCCAGGGATGTGGGTGGATTAGGGATGGCTTGAACCTTGGCCTGACTCTCTAGGTGCCTGGTATCCTAGGA